CACGGGCAAAACGTCGCGAGGAGGCAGTTCGGCACGAGGTCGTTGAAGCACCCAAAGATGTCGGTCTTCCACTTGCCCAGGACGAGGCCATTCGCGTCGACGTTGGCGCCGAGCGGGACGGACGCGACGTCGATTTGGACAGCGGCCGGGACTTGGTCGTCCGCGGCCTTGTCGACCGTGGCCACGTAATTGTTGGCAGGGCTCACGGGGGTCGTTTCCTTGGGGGTCGTGCTCATGTTGGAAAATTCGACAATGGCGCCGTTCTCTCACGAGAGGGAGCGCAAAGCCATCGAGCGAAAAAAAATGCGACCAACCCTTCCGCGCCAACGTCCCCAGGCAAGTTCAAGATGGGGGAACAAGTATCGAAAGTTCGACATTGCCTGTTGGCCCGACCCGTCTACGTTGGGTCGTGTATATCGCGTGGCATGTTCAGGATGGACCAGCGTCGCCAGGTCGACCGCGAATGGCATGGCCCAGTGTGCCAAGCCGCGACCCACGATGGAATCGCCCGATTCCCGCTTTGTCGATGGATAGACGAGCGGTCGTGCGCCATCGCATGGTATGTCGGTGGTCGTGACGCGATTGTTGCTCCTCCCACTCGTGTCCTTCCAAATCTGGACTTAACGTTCTTACGATCGTCGACGCTGCGGCAGCCAACGAAACGCTGGCGCAGCGACACGACGACCAATCCATCGCGGCTGGATGTTTGTGTTTTGTTGAAGAACAAACCATCTCTGTTTCCTTGCTCTGTTCGACGTTTGATCGGATCGGTTGGAGCTGGCAAGGTCGGCTGCGTCGCGAAAGAGGTTCAAAGTGGGGCGGCGTCGTTACAGAGGTGGCCGCCGCTGCCCGAGGCCACCACTGCCGTGTGAAGACGGTGGAATCGACACATCGTTTGGAACAACATGTATGGTCCTGGCGGGTCGGATGGTGGTTGACGTGGCGGGGGGGGCGGGCGATGCACGCCGTCGTCGAGGAAATCGCTGGTCCGCTCAAAATTCGCCCCCTCCCCCCGCTCGTGTGCATGTGTACACTGCGTGCGAGCGCTTCTGGCATCGGCTAAGGCCGTGCGCGGCGCATACTGTATAGAATTGCACGGCGCTCCCGTCGTCGTCGTCGAGTTGGTTGCCGTTATCATAGAGCACTCACTAGTGTACGCACGCACCGACGCCGCTGTGGCGCGTGATGGCGGCATAAAATCGTCCGAGATGTCCCGAACGTGATGCGTTGGTTGCCACGTCGTCTGCGGGAAGGCTGCATGGAAACTGCATCCTCGAACCTCGTCGACAAGCCGTTGGCCATCGAGTGATTTGCCAGCCACATCCAGATTGTCTTGGCTCGCCGCCTGGACCACATCGACTGTCCCGCTCGACGGTGGCACCGCCCTAGGCGGCCTCGCCGACGTGCGAGCACCTGTTGTTTCCTCAGCCGTTTCCATTGTTTCGGTGGTTTTGAGGATTTGGAAAAATTTCTCAATATTTCTAATATTGACAAAAACGCCAAAAATAGTTTCGTCATGTTTCCATGTCGAGGCACTTTTTCCCACTTTATGTCACGGGACGATTTTGGATTACACTAGTGTCCTGGTGTTAGCAAAATGGGCATGCCGTGTACATGGCTGTTGCTGAAAGTTGTCGAGAGCTCGCTCTCAACACTCGTCCCTTGACGCAACCCGTGCGTGATGCCACTGAAATATGCAATGGGAAGGGTTTTATGCACGGGTCGAATAATTTTACTACTACGTACTTCGAGTAGTAGGTAGTATATTACTCGTATACTAGATTTTTTTATTCGAGTTCACAGGTACAACTTGTGGAGTTAGTGCAGCAATTTTGGCCAATCAAAAATTTCCACTCAATCAATATCGACTGTGAATTCTGGTGGAAAATACCGGGCGAACATGGCCAAACACCGGCGACCACGAAAGCGACCACGCGCCACGGCGCCAACCGCGGTGCAATCGCCGTATCAGGAAGTCCTTTGTAGCCGCACGGTCCTGGCGCTTGTCTTTCAGTTCCAAGAAGGAGTGTTCTATTCACTCTTGCCACGCTACCGGTGCGCTGTCCTTCTCTTGTTGTGCCCTGCTAACATGGTGTGCAGGTCGTGGACGCGGCTCTTTCTCGCGGGCGCCTTGACGGCGCTGACGCAACGGGAGCTGCACTTGTCTTCACGAACAGACCCACGCTTCATCTTGCACCGAGCTGTCTTTGACGGCGACATGACGTCCGTGCGCCACTTGCAACGATGTCGGCCGCACCTGTTTACCCCAGATGTGTTGACGCTGGCCGCAGCCTATGGTCACACCGATACGACGGCATACCTGCTCGATCTTGGTGTGTTTACCCCTCATGCTATGGCCTTTGCCGCAGCACAGGGCCATTTGGCTGTATGTGAACTGCTCCAAGCCATGCCATCCACGCCGTCGGCTATCGACGGAGCAGCTTCAAACGGGCACTTGGCCGTTGTTAAGGTCTTGCACGCTCTCAGCATTCACGGTACAATAGCGCTAGCATGACCATGCGCTCATTCTAGCTCGAGCAGAGGCCACTACAGACGCCATGGACGGGGCAGCACACCATAAGCACCTGGACGTCGTGAAGTATTTGCATGCACACCGTACGGAAGGCTGCACAACCGCAGCCATGGACTCAGCTGCGCTCAACGGCGATTTGCCAATGGTATATGCTCAACTGTGCGATGCGCCGATGTAACATGCACGTCGTTGGACTAGCTGGCCTTTTTCCACTCGAATCGAACGGAAGGGTGCACGACACGTGCGATGGACGTTGCCGCTACGCACGGGTATTTCGAAATCGTGCAGTTCCTTCACGCTCACCGCCAAGAAGGTCCACAACTTTGCCCTGTGGAATGGGGTGCAAGCTCACCCGTGTGTAGGCTGTACTGTGCTGGCCATGGATGGCGCTGCGACGAGCGGCCATGCTGATGTCGTTCGCTTCTTGCACGAGAATCGCACGGAAGGTAGGTCGTCCTTCGCACTGTTGGCCGGCAAATTGAATTCCAACGGCAGGGGCGACCACTCGTGCGCTGGATGGGGCAGCGACGAATGGACATTTGAAAATTGTTATGTTTTTACACACCCATCGACGAGAGGGGGCGACGGCCCAAGCCATGTATGGCGCGGCCGCGAATGGACATTTGAACGTTGTGAAATATCTGCATCCCCGCGGCATCAGCACCGGCGACGGAGCGTTTGAGGCGGCGTGCCGACAAGGACACTTGAATATCGTGAGGTATTTACTCGACCAGGGCGGGGCGACCGGCGACGTCAGCGCCGCGTTGGAGGGTGCAGTCGAGAATGGACATTTGAACGTGGTGAAATTTCTGCACGCCAACCGCGTAGCCAAAGTGACCAAGTACGTGGTTCAGTTGGCGACGGCGTGCCAGCACCACAAGATCGTGCAGTACTTTCGACGGCGATGACCACCTAAGTTGCCACTTATACAAATGCCCGCCCCTTCAACTTACGGAATGACTGCGATGATCGATATGGCCTCGCGTTGAAATGCGGGAATGGGGAGGGTGGGCACGACTTATCCCCGAACCGCCCTGACAGCTCCACTGCATGTGCTAACACGGGGAGCGTCGTCGAGAGATCATGTCTGTAGACACCACCGACGGTGGTTGCCTTAAGTTGGTGAGTCTGCAAGTTGAACGATCTCCGGGGTGACATTCGCGGAATCCTTGTCTTGTGCGCCTTGCATCATCCCTTGGCATGCTACAGCTGTATTCAGTTGGACCATGCAGTGCGAACAGCTCATTCGGCATCGTCTCACATGCATGTTACACCTGAGGCATTGCCACGCCACTGGGGTTGAGTTGCCGGGTGCAGTGCGCGCACACGTCACGGACGAACACGAACGATCCATTTTTCTCCACGCGCGAGGCATTCCTGGTGGCAAATGGTGGTCTTGGAGACAGAGCCCTCTGGCGTGACCGAAGATGATGATGGCCGAATCCTCAACGAGGTTTTCTGACGCAATTCAAGCTTGCGCAGCCAGGTTGGCCAGTTGGCGTTCTGTTCTTGGCGTGGTTGTACATGACCGAATGAAGAACTTCATCGTCGAGAGGATAGATCTACTTCGTTCCGAGAGCGTCGGCGACATCACTGCGATCGTTCGAGCGTCGCTCTCGTCCCGGGTCCAAAAGATCGGGCCGTCCTCTCTTTGATTGCATCTTCCGAACCTTGACCAAGCGAGCATGTGCAAGAATGGACGGTGCTTGCTGCGCCGTTGCATTCACGGACGTTGTGTGCGCGAGGCTGGAGCACCACCGCAGTCGCCGCGTCGGAACAAGTGGCACCGAGATGCCGATCCAAACCAACCAAGTCGTGTTTGTACCAGGTTAATCTGACAAGCTCTGTACGACTCGAGGCTGGACTCGTCCACCGTGTACCGTCGCCATGGGTGGCCCGTACGCCTGCCGGTACGGGAACGTGCCTCGTGGGCTTTGTACACCCATAAGCATGCCTTCAATCAAAAACCCCGCAGCCTTGGACGGACCGCAGACCCCAATCGAACGGCAGCCCAGCAGTTTGCAACGTGTGGACAGAGTGGGTGGATCCTTCAGCTGCGGATCCTGCGAACCCAACGTTCAGCATCGAGCCCCACATTTCCGTTGCCCAGTGCAGCCATGTCCAGCCCTTCTACGTATTCCGTCAAGTTTCACAGAGCAAGTGCACCCCCACCACCAGCCAAGCCACCACGGACATTGTCGCCGCCGACAAAGTCCCGACCATCGTCCCCATGGCTGCCACGCACGATCAGAATGGCCCCCTCGTCGTCGTGAAAGCCGACCTCTTTGGCTGCTTCACCGTCTTTGTGCCCAACTGCGGGCGGACGCGTCGTTTCGAATTTTTTATGCAATTTTTCGAAGGGCTTCTATTTTTCCTCCATATATTTGAACTCTTTTCTGGCTAAAATGTACTAGTAGTACGTCCGAGTCGTCTGATTGTTTTGAATATTGGGTACTCTGGAGTATTTCTCAATATCGTCCAACGAATGGAAATATTTCTCACGATCGTCCAAGTTGAATGTTCGTGAGGAATTTTTATT